ATTTAATATATTCTATTTTTGTTTAATTGTTCTAAATTAAAAATATAGAGGACACATGAAAAATAATAAAGATTAATGAAAAAAGAAGAAGAAAACTTATTAAACTAAAATATTTATAAAAATATTTAAAAACAATTTTATTTAAAAAAATATATGCATAATTATTAAAAAATAAACGGAATTTTTTTGAAAAAAAATGAAAAGCAATATAAGGAAAAGATATAATTTCGTCATAAGCTCAGTCGATTAAATCTGCAAAAAGGAGTGTTTTCTAATATTGTATTAATATAGCCGAAATAAAATATATCTATATAATGAGGAGCACTCAAAAAAGTAAAAAATATACGATATTTTTTACTTAATGATATAAAAATATGTCATTAAGTAAAAAATATACGAAATAAAAATTATCAAGCAAAAAACAGAAAATAAAATATAAGAAAAATTCTGAACAGAACACCAAACGTAATTTATAAAGCGAGTAGTGAATTTAAATGAACCTACAAGTACCAGAATCTTTCAAGAATGATTTAAAATATTTTCGTAATAAGATTGCCTGTTTACAAAATAGGAAAACAGAAGCGCAAATAGAGGTTAAAAGCGTAAATAGATGGTTCTTTTATGGTAATTTTTTTGCGGATATAATCGCTTGAGCTGATGACGAGACATATATCATTACTTTGTTTTCCGGATTTTTAATACTTATTATATATTTTGAATATAATAAGTATTCCATGTTTTCTCTATATTTTTAATTTATTTTATAAGTTCTATATACTTGCAGCTTATGCGCATTAAATAGAACTTCTTAGTTTCCCTTTTAAGAACTTCTTTTTTTCCTTTTTGTCTTTATTGAGCTATATATAAGAGAAAAAGTTTTTACCAATATTTTCATGTAATTTCCTTACATAAATTCTCCTTAATTTATTATTCAAAATTAAACACTTTATTATTCAAATCCTGCTTCTTATTCCATTTTTGAATTCAAGTATGCAAGATTTAACATTTTTAGATTTTCCCTTTACTGAGTGTGAGAAGGTTTCCCTTTTTCCATGAGGGACGTGTCTTTTTCCTTCAGATAAACACTCAATTTCAGATTTGAAGCTCTTCCAAACCTAAAAAACCACCAGTTTTTCTGCGGCCAGTGGCGTAGTGAGGGGTGGGCAAGGGAGGGCATCATGCCCCGGGCGCTACTCACAAAGGGGCGCCAAATGGTCCGCAAAGCAAAAAATTGCTGTATAATTTTTATTTTTATTATAATTGATTTCTGGAAAATCATATTTTAATTTTAGTGCCAGTGTAATATAATAAATGTTAATTTGTAAATAAAAAGGAATATTAATAGTCTAAATCAAACTGTAATAACATATTCATAATAGAAATGGCACGTCTTTCCTACTGGCAGGGCTGACTCAACCTGTGTCTGTCAGCACTTTCTTATGGCATCTACGCTGTGTAGTAACATAAATTATCTCCTTTCTTGATTTGTCTGATAAAATAATATGTAATAATAAATATTTGAAGTGTACAAAGTACAAACATTCTTTCTTTCAGGACAATATATATTTTTATTTCCATAAACGCAATGTAGCTTACGCTTGTTAAAACGATAACAATAACACTCTAATGTACTTATATGTACAGTCTAATGTACTTATATGTACACGGAAAAAAGTAGCCGAAAAATAACAACTAAAGGATCGAAAAGAGACACACAACAAATACATCGTTTTGCCGTTTCTAGAAAAGGACACAAACGCCGTATTTGTTGTGTGCCTGAGAAATATCAGTATTAAAAAATAAACGATTCCTTTTTTGTTACCTTCCGGATACTTTTTTTCGTGACTGTACGTATCTTAGACACTTACGACAGGTTGTGGAAGTCGGCAACAAATTAGGGAAATACCCGAAATATTAACGTTTAAGTCATTTTGTTCGTGTATTTTTCAGTTTTGCATCCTTGTCATCGCGCTCTGCTTAGAATAAAAATGAAATGTTATTAAATATTATATTTTATAAGTTTAATGTTAGCATAAATTCTAATGTATATTTCACTGTGTTACTACCTTTCAAGTTCAAGGCATTCTTGGTAAGTAATAAAACAAATAAGATTACTTACTACATCTACTCGACGATTCTATTATTAAGTGAATAGAGTATGAAAAAATTTGTTAACAGAAAAATTTGTTGTTCTCATATTTGTCACCACAGATTCAAAATGAATTCATTCATCTTCTGGCATCTACAGTTCGAAATCAACTAATAAACGATATCAAAAGAAATAAATATTATGGACTTTTGTTTGATTCAACTCCTGATATCTCTCATCGAGAACAAATGTCCCAAGTCGTTAGGTATGTAGATGTTGATTTTATGAATAAAAAAGTTTCCATCAAAGAATCTTTTTTGGGTTTTATTGAAATACTTGCTAAAGATGCAGCCTCGATCGAAAATACAATTTTAGAGAAATTAAATTTCGATGAAATTTCATTAACAAACTGCAGACCACAATGTTACGATAATACTGCCGTGATGGCAGGTCACACATCTGGCGTTCAACAAAGAATAGTGGGGGAAAAAATCATAAAGCATTATCTGTAAATTGTGATAACCATTCATTGAATTTAGTAGGAGTTACTGCAGCTAAACAATATCAAATCTTTGTGACATGTTTTGGAATAATTGAAAACATATCTCTGTTTTTCTCACGTTCAACATTGCGATGGGAATTATTAAAAAATGCTTTAACAAAAAGTGTCAAACGTCAATCTGAAACACGATGGATCGGCGGAATACAAGCGGTTAGCGTTATCGTCGATGGGCTAGAGCAGGGTTTTCGAACTGGCGGCCCGGGAGGTATTTTTTTGGGGCTCGCGAACTAAAATATTTTAGTTGTAATTTTTTTGAGGACAATTTTCGTAAAAAATCTAGATCGGTTTAAAATAGTTTTGTCGTTAATAAAAACCTAATTTCTTCGTTTCTGTGAAATTTAACATTCCAACTATGCAAAGAAATTTATTTTTCAAGTTTTGCATCCAAGAAAATATTTATTCAAATGCGAAAATAATCGTGTATGTTGATCTTTTTTATTTCATTTTTTTTTAATGTATTTTGTGAATGTAACTTAGCACGTGCGTATCAGAAATTTTCTCGAAGAAATTCTCCGATTTAACTTTTTAAAACCACTTATTTTGGACGAAAATATTTTCACACACGTTTGTCAATTTTAAATTTAAATTGCAAATATCTATTCTTTGGTGGTTGCAGCACAGACAAACCTCAATTTTCTCATTGAATATTTTGTGTGCTACTATGTAAGTTTTAATACCTTAACAATTAGATATCTGTTGCACATTAATTGTTTAATACATAGGTGCACATTAAGTTATTGTTGCCCGAATTTTTATTATCTGTTTAATATTTTTAAAAATGTTATTAATAACAATTAAATATTTTTAAAAATCTACTTCCTATTTTAATTTGTAATTCAATACTTTTGCTTTGTACAACTTGGTAAAACTCTGACAGTAATATTTAATGTTCCTTCAAACATAAAAGAGTCCTACAAAACATTCTGATAAAGTTGCGGCCCGCCATTTGATTTGTGTTTCTAATAGTGGCCCCCGGCCTCATGCAAGTTGGAAACCCCTGGGCTAGAGAATAGAGTAGAACAATTAGAAAAATTAGCAGAGGCCATTACCACTACAAGTGACACCAGAAATGAAGCTACAATACTGTTGCAAAATATACTAACTTTCAGTTTCATAACTTTAGCTCATTTCTGGTTTGAAATCCTAAGGAGGATTGATCGTGTGCAGCTCAGATTACAAGAACCTAGAATGAATTTTAGCGAAGTTTTCAATGATCTTGAATCATTAGCGACTGAACTACCCGAAATTTGAGATAAGCTCCGTGAAGAGGCAGTAGAAAAAGCGAAGTCTCTTTGTGAAAAATGGGATATTGATACAACAATACGTGTAAGAAGACGCCGCAAAATGCTCGGAGAATTGGCTAGAGATGCTGGTCTTTACACAGAAAATGAAATTTCTCGCGTTATGAAAAGCGTTCTTGATCGCCTCCAACAAGAAATATGTACACGATTAAGTGACCTTAAATTCAAATTTGGAATTCTACTAGACATTGAAAATTTATTAGACGAGGATAATGTTGATAACGACCTTGAAAAAATTGTACAAATTTGGGTGAATTTTATTATACAGATTTCAATGGAATAGAACTTTTATCGAAATATGTGACTGCAAAATGTTACTCCGCAGTAGATAAGAAATTGAACCTAAAACTCCATTAGAATTTCGTACTTTTATAATCTCGTATGGAGAAGATGTTTTTCCAAACCTGAGAGTGACACTTCAAATACTCCTGACTATCTCAGTATCAACTGCTAGCTGCGAACGTTCATTTAGCAAATTAAAATTAATTTTAACATATCTACGATAAACGATGGGTCAAAATCGCCTAAGTGACCTAGCATTAAGTGTGGAAAGAGAAAAATTTGAAACAATCAACTTTGATTATATTATTGATAAAGTTGCTTCATGAAAAGCAAGGAAAATTTATACATAGTAATTAGTCTTATTAATGTATTATAATCATATTATTAACAAATATATGTATCCCCTTAGAGATAAAAAATATTTACTTTCTATTGTTTTAAAACTGCGTGTTTTTAAAATATTTCTTTATAAATATGTAAAATAAATAATAGGTATCTTTTGAACTAATTCTAGATGATCATATACAATTCAGAATCTAGTCTTGTTTTCTCAACTGCATTTTTTGTCTCAAATTAAAAGTCTAGCTTGAGCCTATGACTTTATTTATTTTACTTTATTTTTTTATTAATTTGGTAGTATATTTTACGTATAATATTATATGGTTTCCGAATGGGGGGGGGGGCGCTGAAAAGGTATTGTGCCCCGGGCGCGAGTTAAGCTCGCTACGCCACTGTCTGCGGCCTTTTTCCTGGAGAAAAAATCCCCTCACTTTCATGATCGAACACAATTTCAGAAGACAGAATTTATTTCTGATGGCCTCAGTGATTTCAATAATTATTTGCTGAAATATCTTGATAAAAAATGAGACAAAATTTTTTTCCGCTTATTGAAAAGAATATCCCAGAGAATTCAACTGTGATTAAGAATGTTGGAAACCTGATAAATTTGACTACGCAAACTTGCTGGATGTGATATCCTGAAAGAAAAATGGGTCAACGATAAGTTTGTGTAACGCGATCTTTCCTTAATCATAAAATGTATTTTATAAAAACAAAACAATTCAAGGAACAGTCAGGATTTAACAACAATTTACCAATGCGGGTTTTATTTCAGATATGCTTGAGTGTGAAAAGATTGAATTTATTTTGATTATTTTGTGTGTTTCGTTTGTGCCTTCCAATGTGTGTTTTGTTTTATTTCTGAAAAGGTATTTATTCTTTATTGAAATCTTCTCTAACGTTTAAAAATTGAATGCTTTTAAATTTATTTTTATACTAATATTGAGAGTAATTTAAAATACAATGATATGGTTATTACAATAATATTGGCATTTATATTTGATATTATTTCTATGTATTGATATTATTCAAAAGTTAACAATATGATTTTGTTTTAAATAGAGACAATATTTTTAAAATTTAATATTTTTAATGGAATTTTTTCCCTCTTGATTCCGTAATCTGAGTTATAATCAGCATTGATATGGAAAAGAATTTTTGTTGATTGCATGGTTAAAATTTTGTGCCTAAGAAAAGTGAGCAATAAAATATTTAAATTTTAAATTCAATAATTAACTTTATTTTGAACGAGTGGTAAAAAATACAAATTTAATACAGAAACGACAAATAGTGTAATAAATTAGTCGAAAAATTAATTAATTGCTAGTTTTGAAAATTTAAATTTTAAATAAGATAAAAAATAGTTCGAGATCCAACATTGGTGTTCAGTTTGCAGTTTGGCTCAGACATTTCCATAAACAAATCAAAGTTTTTTATTGATGAGAATCAATTCCAGCTGAAAGATGAACAAGAAAGTGACCAAACACAAAATTGACAATTTAAAGTATCCAGATACATTCAAAATACGTTCAAAATAAAAATGAAAATATTAAAAATAACAAATACCCTATTGTGACTAATAAAACTATAACTTTAAAGAAATTTATTTCATGTTGTCTATTTGAACAAAGAACTTGGATAAATTTTCCATTTGTTTTTCAAACAGATGTATATATGCTTACATTTTGTTTAAGATTCATGATTTTACACAGATTTTATAGTCACAACACAAAGAAACCTTATGATTTATTCTATTCAAAAATTTTATTGCAGAGAGAGAAAAATAACATAATTTTTATGTGAACAATTCCATAAACTTAGCATTCTTGTAATCGTTTTATGATCTTTTAATTTTAAATAGAATGCTTTATTCTATTTTGGACTAATATGGATCATGTTATGCACTACATGGAATTTATTTATTATTTTTTTGGGGTGGGAAGGGGAGGAAAAAATGTCTATAAATTTTCAATGGAATGTCTGCATTTTGCATCGAAGTATTTATTGTGTTCAGACACTTTAAGATATTATAAATTATAAGGGTTTGAAATGCGTATAATTATTTGTGCAAAATTTCAAATTTAATTTCACAAGTTACAAAAATGAGAATAAAGAGATTGTGAATACGATAAAAGAAATTATTAAAAAAAGAAACATCGAATTGATATTTCATAGAAAAAGCAAAGATTAAGGGCTCTTCCAGCGCCACCATTTTTTTGTTCCTTTAGCGACGATTGACTGAGTATAGCAGTCTATATTATCTCGTAATTTAACATAGCCATTTGTAAAAGCAATTTTAGAAAGATAAGAATTCTTTAATTTTTGACACATTTGATAATTGTTTCTTTTTTTTTCTTTTTCGAATTTGAAAAGTTTTGATCCTACCATTAGGTGTTCCAAACCTGTGATTTTAAGAAATTTGTGCAGCAGATTTCGATAGCTGAAAATGATTACTCAACTAAGCCAATTCTGATGTTCGATGACGAAGAAAGAAGTTATGGCATATAAAAGGGATGAGCCCTTATTTTGTTTTCTTGAAGATATTCAGAGTGATGATTCACTTTTTATTAAATCAATCGATTTTCATTCATTTTCGATATTTATTAAGTTGAAGTTATTTCTTTGTTAAGAGTTTCTTTCGTTTCTAAATACTTTTTGAGAGTTATTTTCGATTGCTATGTCAATGTTATTTCCCTGTGATCACGTATTTTTTTTAGTTATCTCTTCATTTTTATAATAATGCATCTTTATCAACAATTGTGGAGGGAGCTGTTTTTTACGAGGTTTTTATTTCTAATTTATACAATTAGAGTTTGTAAAATAATTACTTTATTTGCCTTTTAAGCATTGACCATTAGTGTTTTTTCAAAAAGAACAATGAAAATAGTTTAAAAACCTCATAGCAAATTAGAGTTGTCAATTGCATATATATGTCAATTGTCAGGTGCATATATATATATGCACTACAGCCATTGTTTAATATTGTCTTTCGTCAACTTTAAATTGTTATGAGTTTTTTTAAACTATTTCACTGTGTATTTTGAAAAAAAAAAAATGAAACAAAAAAAAATAATAACTATCAATGTATATATCTTATTTATTTACAACATTCAATAAATAATTGTGTGTTGTTAGAATGATTATTTTGCATTCTTTTTATAACACATGATTTATTTTATTAATTTTCAAAAAGATGGATTTTGAACTATCGTTGTTTACTATTGTTTCTGAATGCATGTATATACAGAACAGGTATTATTTGATATATCCTTTAAAATTTTAATTTGCATTAAGTTATTTTGTTATTTTAAACTATTGGTCATTGTTCATAGTGGGGCGGTACGTTGGGCCATTCTTCAAAGTGTTTTAGAGACGTAATATATATATATATATATGTATATAAAAACAAAAAGTAAATACTTTTGTATTAATAAAAGAATTAAATCTCTTTCGTTTTCATAAAATGTCTTTGTTAAAGAATAAGCGTAGAGAGATTCTATTTTAGGAATTCAAGGCTGAAAACATACCATTGAAATATAAATAGATTTATATTTCAAGGGAAGAGTTATTTATAGAATCGTGCCCTTTTTCAATTCCATATAAGGAAGCAGAAATGATTTTCCTTAATGCGTAAGGATACAAGGAATGTACGAATGTGCCTTTTTACTTCAAATCTATGTTGGTATAAAACGTAAGA